CGGCTGAGCGGCGTGGTGGCCTGGGTAAGGCTGCGCGTAGGGAGCGGCAGGAAGATGGTGCTGAGCGCGGGCATCGTGTCTCCGGTTGTAGTTTTCACGGTTACCGTAGTTGCCGGTGGTCGGCTGCGGGCAGTACGGGACGACCTGCATACCGCCAGGGACAACGCCGGCAGGTCCTCCACTTCGCGTGGCGTACGCGGACGCGGCCGGACCACCGAAACGGTCGTTCAACTGTTCCAGGAGAGTGCTACCGACATAGTAAGTCGCGATGTGGACAGCATCAGCAACACCCATGACCACGAGGGAGCGCTCGGTGGAGAGAGGCAGGCAAGAGTCAGAAGCGTTAAGCCTAGCTCCAGAGGCCTCTTGAATCTCACGGATTCGCGCACCACCCTTTCCAATGATGGAACCAATCAAGATATGCGGAATGAGCAAACGGAGAGGGTACGTCTTTGACTGGGCGCTGGATGGTTCAGCCAGCGGCTCGTTGTTCAGGGTGCGGATGATCAGACCGAAGGCCTATATCTCGGTTAGCGAATAGGTCCAGCGAAGGTAGACAGGCTGCGACAACGGACCTTAGCGGCTGCATCGACGACACCGCTGACGGTTAAGATGCGCTCGACGGCTCCCTTCTGATAATCGCTCACAGTGCACTTGGCACCGGACATCTTGCGAATGTTGGAGACGTTCTCTCCACCCTTTCCGATGACGGTGGCAGCTTCCGGGCTGGAAATAACAGCGCGGATGTGGATCCAGTCTCGCTCATCGTGACTCGCGGAGGCGGAGGGAGTCGCAGGAACCGCGCCAGCAACAGAGCTTTGGATGGGCTTCGTCTCGGTGCTCTCGGAGTCAGCCTGATCGGACTTGGCCTTCTCGCCGTTTGTCTTTTCAGCGCCGTTTGCGCTCGGTGTTTCGATACCGGCATCAAGCCCGTCGATGGGCTGGGCCATCTCGATCTCCTCATCGCTCTTCAGAATCTTGTCCAAGGCAGGCCGTTTCGCGTCCGGCTGGTCGTTGCTGCGCGAGGGAGAAGAGGTCTCCTCGAGAGGGCGCTTGGCCGAGTTTGAGGGCTGAGTGGGTGACGCGGACATGATGGGCTAGTTGTTAATGTCTCACACAAGTTTTCGCGATTCCGTCTTTTGGTTCTAGAAGAGCTTGTATTCGACTATCTACACCACAGAAGTTTTCAAAGGAAAACGGGCTGGTGTAGTGGCGTGGTCGGGGTCGGGTTCAAAAGAAACCGTTTGTTTTTCCTTCGTGAAGTGGCTGTGCTCGAGGAGGATAGAGGTCGTAGGGCAGAGGATCGTGAAGTTGAGGTAGGTCGGGGTGGTGGATTCAGGATGACTCCTATCCTATCAGGGTCGTGGTAGCTTCCGAAATCGTGAGAATCGCAGAGAAACTCAGTTCAAGCGGAGGGAAGACGCGGCGGGGAAGCAGCAAGGCGGACAGGAAGAGGTGATGATGGAAAAGAGAGGTAGAAGGCGGGAGGGGAAGAGAGCTGATGGTAGACAAAGGCTGTATGTAGGAGGCGATTCGGATGCAGAAGCTCAAACCTTTCTCCGTCAAACGAACAGTCCAAGCTGCAAGGCAGGGGGGACTGAAGCTGCAATGATTTGCGACGGCTTGTCAAGTCTCCAAGCAGAGCTTTGATGACCTATTCTGCGATGAAATGTCTCTTCTCTGGACGGTGCTTCAAGCAGTTGCTGATGCTGATGCTAGCGACGCGCCGACGGTCGGGTCAGAGCAAGCAAGCTTGAAGGCGACACGACACGTGAGGGGAGAGCGGAAATCCGATGCGATGCGCCCACGAAAATACAACCCACCAGATGATGTTCGACTAGAATAGAGCGGACGGGACGGGGGAAGCGGGTTGCGGCGATTAAAAGAGATGGGAAGGAAACCTGTGCAAACAGATGGGTTGGAAGGGGGTCCGGATGTCTCGAAGAGGTTTGGGAATGGGCGAGGGCAAGATATTGCTGAAACCTCGTAGAAAAAAGATCGGCCTAATGCGTACGCAGCAGCAAGGTGCGCACACCTCAGGCGCAGACGCAGGTGCCACTGCCAGTGTGCCTGCCCTGCCCAGTACTCAGTACGGATACCACCTCACTGCCAGCAGCCAGCAGCCAGCAGGCAGTGGACCAAGGGAAGGCGCTCACGGTTCTTGGCTGCGATTGCCTCCAACTCAACGCAGCCCAGCACAGTAGCCGGCACGGACGCACGGTCCATACGCCGTCTTCCCCACTACCCACCTTTCTCAGCAAGAGCCACACAGTAGCAGTGATTTGCTCCGGCAGATTAAGCTGCATGGGGGGGGCTTGTTTCCCGGGGCCCCCAATCGTGTTTGGCCACTTGGTGTTCCTGCAGCGCATTGTTTGATTGGACGGAAGCAGCGAGCCGCACAGTGTGTTTGACGCTTGCCTCCCGCAACATGACCGCGAAAAGTGTGTCGCTAAGCCCCAGTCCCCCCCATTCTCAGGCGGCGCGCTGCTGCGAGTGCAACTTGCCTGCCCGCTTTACGTGCGATGCTCGCCCTGCATTTGATATTCCAGCACCAACGCTGGCTGTAACGTCAACGGTGCTTCGTTTGCGCGCGAGCACCTTTTCGCTACTGAGTACCGACCCTACGCGCATACACTCCAATAGCAGAATCGCGTCTCTGCCATCCGTCCTACCCCGAGACCACGCCGATCTCAGCCACCGCAGTTCCAACACCGACGTCAGGTTGCTTTTTCTCTCTTCTGGCAGACTCCATCTACGGATTCTACCCCGTCGGTGTCACTTGTCAGCGTGGCAGACCGCGACAGACAGCTAGACAGACAGTCGAGACAGTGCATCATCCGTGCCGTGTCTCTTCGCGCCGGCCCTGCCTGTCCCCCGGAAATCTCGATAACACCCGACACACAGTGACACCTCCTTTGAAACAGTCAGAGAGGATCTAGCGCCTGGATGCAACCCCGACGGACCGTGTGCTTTGGGACGGCTTGAATCCGCCGCGTGCTGCCATTGCTTAAACTGTTTCGTTTCTTCTGGGGCACCCTCTGAAAGTCGCGTGCAACCTCCTGGCTGATATTGGCACCGTGTCGCCAAAATATCAGATCGTTTGGACTGTTCAAGGGTCTGGGCTATCTCATCCAACTGACCGGAGAGATCTTGGGACGCACCATCAAAGCGCCCAGCATGGCGGACTCTTCTCCTCGGCCTGGCGACGATAGGTATACTTTGAGTCTGGAACAGAGCTTGCAGGAACTCCAACAGAAGATTCAGCAACACCGGGAGGAGCTTGCCAAGGTATGCCGTCTGCACCGAGCACAAGTTCACCTCCAGCTAATAGCACACTAGCTTCAGCAAAATGGGAGGCAGTCGCAGACGGCGCCTGGCCCAGGGAAAGGCAGCTATGAAGTCATGAAAGGGGCTTTTGAGAAAGTTGCTGCAGCACCACCATTCGTCCCTTCCTCGGCATCAGTCTTGCCCGCGCTCTTGGCCCTACGAAAGACACATCAGACTGTCGCCGAGTCCCGAGGGTATCTGACCAGCCAGGGAGCCTCACTCGAGCAAGCCAAACGCAGGCTTGAAGGTGAACAGGCAAATTTGGCCGATCAGAAGCTGCTGCAGCAAAGCTTAGAGAAGCGCATCCAATCGCTGGAAGATGACGCCGAATCTCGGATGGAATTAACGCCCGAACAGGCGGCCAGGGAAAGACTGGATGAACTCAAGCAAAAGAAGAGGCGTTACGACAAGGAGACGTCCAAACTTCTCAAGGCTCTCAGGAAGTTCATTGATGATCACCTTGCCGCACAGCTAGCGGCGGAAGACCTCGGCGGCCCAGTCGTCGGCGACATGATGGAGATCGACTCGGATCAACTCGTTGCGGGTTTCAATGCCCAGGGTCGGCCTATGAAGGTCAAGTCCAAGCCAGACGAGGACAAGCGACAAAGACGGCTCGAGGAAGTATGGGGTTTGCCCCAGGAAGATGGCAGAGACCAGCGCGGCGAAGTCGACGAAGCAGCAGCTGCCGGGCGCGAGATGCGCGAGCTTACAGAGCAACTTTTGAACCAGCTTGTGGAAGCGGGAGGCGATAGTACGGCGTCTTACGTCAAGTTACCAAAGGAGACGGCAGCGGCGCGGTTTCTGGTGCGATCCAAGGTCGCACAGTTCCACCCCAGAGATGCCACGAGGCTCAAGCTGATTGATTTTGGAAGAGAACTAGACGACTAGGAGGACCCGGCATGCCGCGTACCCGCGGTGCAGATCCCCCGTGTGGGGAGGGTGAGCAACCAGGCAATCAAACTGAGATTTTGGCAATGGCATGTCCATCTTGGGTCCTTCAATGTCAGAGAAAAGCTCCTGATGTTAAGCGTCGAGCCCGCCGAGTCAGGACGCTATTTTCCGCCCGGCCATGATGAAGCTCTGTTTGTCACAGTGCGGGCTCGTTGCGGCGTTTTACACCACAGTGCATGCCATTTTGACTCTGCACGTCCCTGCGGATCTAGGTACAGATCTGAATTGCACGGAAAAGCGTTTGGTGTGGAAATGAGAAACTTGGCACGTATGCGTTGGGCAACACAGTTTGGCGCTGAACAATGCAAACCTTCAAAGTTGAACAAACTTTGGGGCGGAAAAAGTGACTCGCAGCGGTTGATGGCGCTACCTTGAGGCTCTGATGAGACCATAATGGATGATCGTAAATTGTCGTCAGAAACAAACGACCGTCGTCCCAGGATGGCAGCTGTCGGCTCGCTTTAATGGCAAGCCGATGACCTCAATTAGAAGACCCGCTATGATTGGCCAATCCCTCTCCCGCGTCTTTACGCGTCGTCGCGACACCGCCATTGTGAGAGCCCACACCAAGCTTTACCTAAGGTACCAAGGGACCTCAAGCTGATACTGCCACCGCCTTAATCGTCCCCCGCTTGACCGCAAGACGATCTTTCAAACAACGGTAAACTTTCTCTTCCCAAGATCCTCGCGAGAAACAACTCCCAAAACGCCCAACTACCATAATGACCTCTGCTGAACCCGCCGCCGCGCCTCAGCCCTCTGACCCTCCCGCAAAGCGAGTAAAGACCGCCTCCGACGACGCACCTGTCCCTGCCGCCATGGAGCCCTGCCCGCCCCTCCAGGTCAAGAAGCTCTCGGACAAGGCTCGCCTGCCTACCCGCGGTAGCCTCTACGCCGCCGGCTACGACCTCTACGCCGCGAAGCCGACCACCATCCCGGCCCGCGGCAAGGCCCTCGTCAGCACCGACATTGCCATCTCCGTCCCGGCCGGCACCTGTACGTAACTGACCTTCGATGGAGATCGATATCCCGGCAGAAGAAAGCTAATAAGGAATCCTCCACAACAGACGGCCGCGTTGCCCCTCGCTCCGGTCTCGCCTCCAAGAACTTCATCGACACTGGCGCCGGCGTCATCGACGCGGACTACCGCGGCGAGGTCAAGGTCCTCCTCTTCAACCACGCCGACTCCGACTTCGAGGTCGCTGAGGGTGACCGTATCGCCCAGCTTGTCGTCGAGCGCATCTTCACCCCCGAGATCGTCGAGGTCCAGGAGCTCGAGGAGAGTGTGCGCGGCGCCGGCGGCTTCGGCAGCACTGGTGTTGCTCTGCAGTAGATGCGAACTTCCTACCCCGATATAAAATGGAAAAGAGGAAAAAGAAGCATGGCGGGAAGAGGATATAAAAGAGACGGCGGGCTAGACTTGAAAGAGAGCACCGTGGCACATACCGCACCCACCGTCACGCACCGGATGGGGAAAGCTTATAGAAAGGGGTAAACCCGACTGAACAATACATGAATGATGACAATGCTATAGCCATAATGCCTTTAAATCTATCCCAACCACGCCGCACATGCAGGTGAACTAAACCCCCCATTCTGTGTAAGGAACATCTACCGCTTTCCCCGCCAATATCTACAACTTCTTCGCCCGGAAACTCACGACTGGGTCCCTCAAGCACGCCAAGTTCCGCACCAGCTTCAGCTCCGCGCTCTTGCTCTTGAGCAGATGCAGCTTCTTCTTCTCCTCCTCCGTCGAGGCCTCCGCCGCCGCGGCCCCCACAGCCTCCTGCATGCCCCGCGCCGTCTGCGTGAGCACCTCGTGCATGCTCGCAAGCACCATCTCCGCCGCCCTCGCCAGCGGCAGGTCCAGCGCGTCGACCTCGGGCCCGCTCAGCCACGACCTGGTCTTCTGCAACTGACTACCGGCGGCGATGACGGCCTCGCGCATGCGCACCGTCATCAGCGCCGCGAACATGTCGCCCGTGCCTGAGAAGTAGGCGTCGATGGCCGGGAAGACGATCTTGAAGAGGCGGGGCGCGCCCGTCGACGGGTCCATGCTGGAGCCCACGACAGACAGGTGCGAGGGCGGGTGGTCCAGCGCGGCGAGGTTGACGGAGGTGATTACGACGTGGGGGATGCGGAATTTGCTGTGTAGGGCGTGGATGGCGGATTGGAGGGAGTTCATGTCTGTAATTTTGACACCAGAGAGCAGCCTTTTGACGGTATCAATATACATTATCTCTCACATCACGGGGAAAACAAGAACTTACTCGGCCTCAAACTGGTTCGGCAGGATCAGGTCCGCGTGCTCCACGAGACTCTGGTACGCGGGCACGACCTCCTCGGCGACGTAGAGCTTGCCGTTGTCGCCCATCACGGGGTCGAGCACCCAGAAGAAGCTGCCGTCGCCCGACTTGGCCTTGAGCTCCTTGGCGATGTCGCCGACGGCCATGACCGCCTCCGCGCCGGGGATGTACCCCGAGAGCATCATGTCAAAGTCGTCCAGGTACGACTGCTTCAGGCCCTCGAACAGGTCGCGGATCTCCTGCGCCGAGACCTTTGTCCCTTTCCATTGCCGGTAGCCGGTGTGGTTGCCTTGTCGTCCCCGCACGTCGTTAGCTGCGTGACACACATACACAGGCAAGTTGGAGAAAGGGGGTTGACAGACTGAACTGGACGGTGTTGAGGGCCGCGACGTCGCAACCTAACGACTGCAGCGTGAAGACGGCGATCTTGTTTCCCACGTTTCTGCATGTAGTGTGTCAGCGCGCACTAACTCCTCGCTGATGTGCTCGGTTGGGTCTGCGACTCACCCAGATACGACCTTGGATCATAAGTCAGTCACCCTATATGCGGCATGAGAGAGATCGGGGAGTGATGAGCGCCTCACATGACTAGCGACGGCAAGGACGCGCGTATCGGGAATAGGAAGGTCTGGTGCCATTTTGAAAGCCTAAAAACAAGAATATCCCGAGAACCAATGATTGTTCTACGTGTGTGTGTCTAGATCTTCTATGATTCGGCGCAGATCTCAGATATCAAAATGCACCTCCGGATCTCGGCGGTGGGGATGAGATATCGGGACGGCGGCCGATGCGCGGCAATGAACAGTTTCAAACCAGAGTAAAGGGGTATAACGAAAGATATGAGTGAACAGATCGAGACAGGCGCTCTACGAGTCAATGAGGAAAACGTGAATGGAGGCGGGGTCGATTATCAGTGCAATTCCCAGTATCTACGAGATTTTCGAGCCGTATCTGTAGTTGGCCGTAAAAGTGACTAAGTGAGATTAGACTTGGACCGATGTAAGGCGGTTCCAGGTTCTTCTAGCCTCTGACTCTCACGGTATGACGTTCCGCACCGTCCAATCCGATATTTTTCAAGGGTCCCGTCTGAATGGAAAATGACCCCGCCAAAAGGGCGCCGAAGAACCCCGCACTAGGCCTTGTTTGGTAAGTCGGCAGGCAGCAAGGAAGCGTGCAGCTGCGACCAGCTGGCGACTGGTCGTAGTCTCATCCACAGGCAAGGTCAATCAACACCACAGTTTGGAGTCATGCAATTGTATACGCAGAAACGGTAATCTCATTATTGTTCGTGGTCCCAAAGATGCTTTTGCCCTTCGTCTACCAGCATATTCCGCAAGAGTCTCTAGAACATGCAAAAAGTCAATCCAGAGTGCATGAGCAGGCACCAATGCCTGTCTCTGATTCCGTGCAACGCCCGCATTAAAATCTTCATGCCGTCGTCAATCGCCAATTTACTCCTCGTCACCAATCTGTAACCTGATTAGCATCCATATTCTAAAAGCGTTGTTGAGAATGACGTACCTTCGGCGCCAGGTAGAAGCGCAGGTAGCTCTGGCCCACCAAAGTGTACTCAACCAGCAGAGGGACCTCGTTGGACAGGCAGATCTTGACCTGCTTGGACATGGCGGCGGCCTTGCAGAAGTTGACGAGGTACTTGAGGGAGAAGGTCAGGGAGACGGGCTCGGTAAGCTCAATGTCGACGTTCAGCTCGGGCTTGTCGACGTTGGTGTGGCTGCGGAGGGTGACGGATCCGTTACCAATGTCGCCAGTACAGGCAAACTTGACACCGTCCTTGCTCGCGTCGATCGTCACTGTAGTCAGATCTGTCAGTCCTTGTACATATCAATTGCACGCACGTCGACTACTCACCAGACTCGCTCATGGCCTGTAGATCTCCGCAAATACGCTTGAACTCGGAGCTGGGCATGGTGATGGTGGCGGCGTACTCCGTCTCGGGAATACCAAGGTGCTCTTGGTCGATATCCATCAGCTTGAGGTCATACTCGCTGATGCGGTCGTGCTCCGAGCTCTCGAAAACGATGTTGAGGCTGTCAGGGGCGTCCTCGGCCTTGAGCGTCAGGACATCCTCGCCCTGGGCGGCGCGGAGGACCTTCTGCAGAGAGGCGAGGTTGAGGCCAAGCGCAATGTTGCGGTCGCAGCGGTAGGGGGAGAAGGCCTCGGTCTTGAGGGCCATGGACACGAGCGCGACGTGCGAGTTGTCCATGGCCTGCAGCATGATGCCGGAGTCATTGCAGTCGAAGTTGCAGTCCTGGACAAGCTCTCTGATGGATTCAACCACCTTCTTGAGGATGTCGGCCTGGTCGAGTCTGGCTTCAAGCATTTCTGCGCAACGTTAGCCGTGTTCCACAAGTCCGCATGAGACAAAAAATCGGTGAGCGAGAGGGCAGAACAGAACGTACTGGCTGATTATTTGCGTGGAAAAAGAGGAGATGGGGTATCTGAAAAATCAAGGAAATGTAAGACGAAGCGCAAAGATTGATCGTGAGCTTTGGCAAAAAAGTTGAGTGGTCGAAGTGATGGTTAAGGAGGAGAAGTCGCGAAGCACTTTAATGGGCAGACACGTAGCGCGTGGTCGTGGTGGGCTGGAGTGGAGGGGAGACGCGTCCAGCCTTCAGTAGGGCTCGACGCCAATCTAACGCGCGCGGGGCAGGAAGAATCGATGATTGATGGTGGCACGTGCGCCTTCTACCGACGTAAGGCAGCCTGGAGCTGATAAGTAAGCTGCGGGCACGCTTGCCCTCTCTGAGGAAGCTGGCCCGGGCTCACCGGACTCCCAGCGGACTCCATGCTCAGGGGCTTGAGATTCCCCTGAATCGTGGCCCCTTTCCTTTACCCTGCCAACTGGAGTCCTTTGTTTAATACATTTGAGACAAAACATTGGCAACAACAATGAAAGTGTGTTTGGCAACTGGTCACAAGTGCAGTTGGTTATTCATTCGAGACTTTTCAATTATCTTAAGATACTAAGTAGTCTGTACAGTTTTGGGCTCGCTGAAGAGCCTGACATCAACGTCGTCATAAAGTACAACAAATGAATGATTTCAGTGAACGATGCCTCCTGTCCCTGAGTTCCATGGCCCCTTCTATATGCAGTCGGCAAAACGAGAGTGTTTGCGCGAATTAAGTATCAAACAATAAAGGGAAAATAAGGCAAAAATGACTGTACGATTAGTTGGTTTCCTGTTCCAAAACGCCCATTGTCTGTCGTTAATTATCATGTTCTCGTCACATCGAAACGATGCGTGACGGATTGGTCCCTGTGCGAGGGCGGGGTCGTAGGTTGATGACCATCTCGAGCTCCTTGAGCATGCCCCTGTTTGCATCCGCTTTTTCTCTGAGTGATTCTCGCTTTTCTCGATCTTCCCTCATCTTGATGATGCGTTCCTCTCTAGTAAGTAGACTTTTTGGCCGTGGCAGGGCGACAGCCTCAAAGATTTCTTCGGTGTCGGGTTCGCCTGTGCTGCTGAAGTCTAAACTGGAGGGCGACTCTCCGTTGAGCGCCTTCAGAGCTTCAGCGGCGCCTCCTTCTTCTACAGTTGTAAGCCCGCTGAGCGAGCTTGCAGGAGACAGCAAGGTGCTCATGGACGAGAGCCTCTTCTCATTCCGGTCAATGCCCACTGCAAGGGCTGCTTTGCCTTCCTCCCAAGCCTGCATCAGGATCTTCAAGTCCGCGCCAATGGATTCGTACTGAGCCATGAGATCGGAACCCAGCTCAGAAATGTCGTCGGATTCGTTGAGGCTGCGGTCCGACTCCTCTCGAAGCAGCGTCAGCTTAGCTTGAAGGCCGCGGATCCCACTGGATAGGGAGTTAAGCTTGCGCAATTGTGATCTCCATCTCTCCCTGCCGGGTGTCAGGGGCATCTTTGGAGTTGGCGGTGCCGGGAATGCTTCGGGAATGTTAGCCTGTGGTGGTCAGATGATGACTGCCGGTAACTTACACTCTTCCTCACTCAAAAGTCTCCTCAGCCTCTCGAACGCAGTCTGTGTAACTGTGTTGAGCGTGCGCACCGCTTCGACCGTAGTTGTCCACCTCAACAGATCGCTGCTATCACCATTTGCGTCCAAGGCCAGTAGCGCACACAAAAACATCTTACGAATGGTGTGAAACCGTGCGGCGAGAATCTTGAGCGTCCGCAGGGACTCGGGGTCGTCAAATTCATTTTCCTTGAACCCCAATTTGGCATCCGACATGTCGAAGTCGCTTATGTCGTAAATATCGTAATACTTCTCCAGGTCGAGCTGCTCCGAGAACCCTTTGACCACAAGCATGGTCTGATCGTAGGCTGGAATGACATCTGCAAAGCAAGCCTTCAAGGCTTTGCGCAGGCGCACGCACTTCCGAGTCTGTGAGCGATCTTCGATGCGACTGATGGGCGGCAGTGGCGCACTCCTAAACCATGTGTCAGCGCATACAAGCCTTTTTTTCCATCACCGTCGGAAAAATCAGGGAAAAAACCAAACTTACAGACGGTAACCTCTGGACACAAGTTCCACCTCTTGTACCAATGCGACGGCCGCGCCAGTCGCGCTGTCGAATTCCTGAGAGTTTGAAACAAACGCAGTGACCTCTGACAGTGCTTGCAGCCGTCTATACCTCAACCACTGCCTCCGCATAAACACATGGACGATCCCTGCAGCGATCACGGCCACAAACAGAATTACCGCAACCCATTTCTTGTTCCAAGTTCCTGAGCCTGCGAGCCAGTTGATCGTGACGGCCAAAGCCAAGGCGCCCAAGACCGCTGCGACAGCGCCTGTTGAGTCCAGCAACTTGTCGGTCGAATTGCCGTCAATCGGAGGGTTGGCAGGCCGGGATGATGCATGGTGCTGGGATAATATTGAGTGTCCACTCAATAGCTGGGATGCGATAATGGTATAGCGAAATTGCTCGAGGAATTTGGAGTTGTCGGCTCGGTCAATCCTAGACGCTACCGCAATCTGAAAGAGGACACACAACACCAGTCAGTAATTTCCCCATGTGACACGGAAAGGGGATTTCGGGTGTTGCGCACAGAGTAGCTCTTTCTGTAGGACTTGTCGGTGGAGGACTTGGTCGGAATGTTTATCTGTAGAGGGTTGTTGCGGAATCTCGACCTGACCATGGGCCGACCTGTCGGCGCGAATTCTGGGCTCGAGGGAGGTGACAAGTCGTAGTTTGGAGGATCCTCGTGCGCCCAATCTGCCTGCTCGTTTTCGCCTTCATCTGTCGCGCGCACATCGTCAGTCGCAGTTCTAATGAGCACTTGGGGCGCGGTTTCTTCGCGGGGACTACACTCACCACGAAGGTACTCAGCGAGCGGCGACTGGTCGAACACAACGGGCTCCATCTAGCGACCTGGCGACAAAGTTCGTTTCGACGAGGCACTTGCAAGCAACACGGCCATCTGCGGTCGCGCTCTTCAGTAGTCGTGTTGCCGCAGTGTCGTGGAATCGTGACGGAAGGGAAACGAGGGGCAATTGCAAACAGAAACCATGGACAAACTCAAGTGGGAGACGCAAAACATGTGCAATGAGTGTATGGACGGTGCCTCGGGGATATATACGGTTCGTGTAGGATACGTAGTGTGATTGCGGAGTGTGTTGCACAGGGGGGGTGGGAAGGGAGAGTTGGAACACT